TGTACATTTTTTGCTTTAAAAATGATTGAATTATGTTGTTTTTATCTTCCGGTTAAGGATTTTATGCCTTTAGTAAATCTGTGTGCAATATTTTTAGAATTATCAGCAATTTTAAAGTTGTTTAATTGCCGCTAAGCCTTTTTTGATGGTGACCATTGATGTTTACATTTGAAACAGGAGACTAGTGGATTTGTTGCCAATCTAGAGAAACTTAGCTTCGCAACAAAAAAAGATAATGTCTTCATTTATTATTTAAATTATGCTTTATCCATTCTGGAATTTTTTTTGAGGAAATAAGCATTTAAGATTTATTTCATAATTTTTAATATAGATATTTTGAGTTTTTATGTATTTTTGCCTTCTCGCGAAGTGAGAACTGAAATAATTAAATGAGAAATACTTAATCGTCTGTGAAAAACTGTTTCTTTTTTTGTTTTGTTTGCTTAATTTCTTTTATACATCATTCTAGCTTTATTATAGTATTTGAATAGAACATGTGGCAACGATTAGATAATTCTATTCTTTAAATGATATACATTTTGTGCATTATGAGTTATAATATGAACAAAATATATAAGTTAACTGTTATATAATTATTGGATTATATAACAGTTAACTTAGTTTCCATTATAAAATTATTATATAAGTTAACTGTTATATAATTATTAATACTGTTAAGTGAATCTAGCGCCAGAGTGTCTCTATCGTAAACAAATACTAGAGTGAATTTTAAAGAATGCATTTATTCTATTGTGGTTTATGCGCTGTCGGCGAAGTAGATTTAATTCAATCCAATAAGTTTAAATGAAATGCAAGAAAAATGCGTATAATTTAATATTTCAATTTAATATTCCAGTACAAGGAAGTCATGTGGTGTACACATCAGATTTTTTATATTATGTCATATTGTTCATAAAAAATTACAAATAAGCCTTTAGAAAGGAGATTAATTAATTAATGACCTTTATTAGTTAATAATGCAAGTTTAGAATTTTGTTAACTGTTATAAGTAATATTATAACATTTAACAACAGTTCTTCTTATAGTTTTTGAATGCTTGAATTTCCTTCTTAGTTTCCCGCAAAAATTTATTAGTTAATTCAAAAATATGAAATGTAAAAGTAAAAATATTCCTCATTCTTTCATGCACTCACACATCATTATGCATATATGCATTTACAACTTTAAAAGCTAGAAAACTGTGATGTTATCATCATGCAGTGATTTGTAGGTGCTTTATATATTTTATAGCAATGTTTTGACAAGAATGTTTTTAAACTGCTAAATTTTTTAGTTGCTTTATATTCAATGACAGTGTTTTATGCTACTATGTTTTAGAACTGCGATGTTTTGTTCTTGCTTTCTTTTCTCCCCTATTCTTTCCCCCATGGCCTAATGATTTTTGCTTTGCGTTGTTTTATCTACAATGTTTTCACATGTAAACAAAATTTCTGCTTTCATTACTTCATATTTCCATCATCAAATTTTTCCACAACCATTGCTTCCAACAGTAAATAGCACTGTTTTCCAAAAATCAGTCTTTGTTTTGCTATGTGTAGGTCTATTTATGTCTGGTTAGGTCTTGCTTAGATCTTTTTTTTGTTTGTGTGGGTTTTTAGTTCTTTATTAGTCGTTGCTTTGTAAAATGTAGTCGTTTTTGTTGATTCTCAGGTGAGAAGTTTTCTTCTGGGAGCTCTGGCATTAAATTTGGCTGAGCAAATACAACATTTTAGTTAATTTTGAAGCAGTTATTTTTTGATCGTTTCTAGCTTTTTTTTTTTTTTTAAAAAAAAAAAAAAAGAGTTCTGGTATTAAGATAACTAACTTTCCATGGATGACCACTGCAAGATTTGTTGAGCACATTTCCTCATGACTTGTAATTTTACTTATTTCAGCATTACATTTCTATTCATGCCTCAATTTCACTATAAGATTTTTATATTTAAAGACATTTCTTTTCTTGGATTCACTTTTCAAACTACAATCATTTTCGGGAAATAGAAGACATGGTTCGTAGCCGTCCTTACAAGTGCTTATAAGTCCTTATATTTGAAAATAAAATATAAAGGCCCTTATAGGCGCTTACTTTTTCTTTAAAGCCCTTATTTTTTTGTTTTTAGTGCTTATTTTTTGCTTTTTTTTTTAATGAACACGCATTTTTCCTCCCGTACCAAAGCCGAAACTAAATAAACAACTTTTCCTCCTTATATGGAACGTCAGATGGTGAATCATACTCCCGGAAATAGCTTTCCCCCTTTCTCTGCATTAACGTAACCTATGGTACGTGTGAGAGTATAGACAGGTGTACATCGTTCTTTTGGTCAAAGAATTGCGAAAACCGTAGAAAATTCCGGTAATTTGGTATTCTTTTTCGCCCAACCAAATACTACACACGTTTGAATTTCTATCAGGATTTTAATAATTTGCATTCTCGTTCCGCGTGGTCAGTTCATATTCGTGTTTATTATGATCGTTATGCTTGTATTATGAGCATATGTATGAATATTTATAGTAATATAGTTGCAGTAGCTGCTGAAGTGTAGATAAACTTCCAAAAATGGGTGTATTTTTACACAGATTAGCTTTCTAAAGGAATAATATTCGGAATGGCTTAAATAAAAGGTAAAGTAATCAAAGTAGTCGAATATTCCCCTCCTCAAAATATTTTTTTTTTTTAATCCCAATACATTATACAGTACGGAGGTTGGGAGGTTCTCCCCTTTCTCCGCAAAATCTCTAATATTGAAGCAATGGACTTTTTTTTTTTTTTTTTTTTTTTTGTCACTGTCCAATCTGGATTGAATAGGACTAAAAGTTTGCGGTCTACCCAAACCCAAGCGAAGAATGATTCAAATTGCGGAAATTTAACGCAGTCTGTTCAAAATTAGAATCATAAACACCCCAGATTAGTAAGTCTCTTTCTTTTACCTTTATTTAGTTCTTTATTCTCCGAATATACGGCAGCTGTTGATTCTGATTGCAGTAATATCACATATGGAAGAATTACGTAGTGCACGTATTGGTGCAATAATGTTAGCGATATTTTGCAGAGATAATTAATTTTGATGTTCAGTCTGAGATTTGTTTATGAACACTTAAAAGAGTTTTACTGTGCTTGCTAAGCAGAATATTTCTCAGTTCCGTTGGTCTATTTTTATATTGATGCACATATCGAAATGTCAAAATCATTTATTTAGCTGAAAAATCTAAAGAACGGCGGTTACAATCTACCCCCCCCCCTTGGCTCCCCTCGTTTTTCCAGTTACGCTCGACTATACTGGAATATTCGGCAATTTCCGAGTATGCAGGTTAGTTAAGCTTTTACTGTTAAAAGGATGACTGCATGAAGCAATTTCCCGTCTTCCTGATTTCAGAAAATGTTCCTCTTTTTTACTTAAATTACTTTGCTTGGAATATCTGTTAAGGGAAAACTGTTATGCAATGAAAATTTAGAAAATGTTCAGAATTTTGATTTAAATTATTTAAATATTAATATGAGTGGGAAAATAAATTGTATTTATTTATTAGGATGCCAAGCGAATACAATAATAATATGGCTTATTATTATTTATTTTCTATATTTTGAACTGAAATTTCATCATTAAATCTTGTAATATAGTTTAGTTCTGCATAGTTTTTTTTTTTTCTCTCATTGTAAACCTAGTTCTATAAATTGAACTGTTCATTTAAAATTAAAAAAAAAAAAAAAAAAAAAAAAAAGTTGTTTTCCATGGTTGAGGTAATGCTCATTCTATCTTGATAAATACTGCATTAATACTGAATCTTAATAAATACTGAATTTTTAAATTACCAAGTCTAATTTTTCTTTTAAGGTTATGCAGTTTTGTATAATGTAATTAGACAGGTGCTTATTTTTTTTTTCTTAAAATGTGCTTGAAAAGTGCTTATAGGTGCTTATTTTTTTAACTTAAATGTGGCTATGAACCCTGAGAAGATTTTGACTTTCACACATGGCTGAGGTGTTCTTATAATTCTAAAAGAGACAAAAACAGCCACATATGCAAATTGATTAAGAGGTAGTCAATTGTATGCTGACTTTTGTGACATGCTGCATGACAGTTAATATAATTTGACAGCATTAACTCAAATAGTGTTTGGTAAACTTCTGTTTTAATTGGTATATTTATACTTTTGTGACTATGTGTATATGTTTGTGTTGTCATTGTATTTTTATGTTTGTTCAGGCTTTGGGTTGTTTTCTAATGTGATATTTTATCATGTTTTACATGTTTCATGATGTTGAGCCATTACTCTTTAAATATGTAATATTGTTTATGTTAAAAAATAAAGGCCTTAAAATATATCTAAAATTAGTCATGCATATTTAAAAAGTTCTATTTTTTTGGGGGGGAAGGCTAATTAGACTACAGTATTTATCATTAGAATTTGTATAAGGTTGCAGAATTTTAGATATTCTTTCCCTGGTATAAATTCCTTACAAATGGTCTGACTACATGAAGATTTCAAGGTGTTCCCTATAGCTAGTGTATACATGCTAGAAAAGGGAGGGGAACTCTTAGAAGTCTTTCATGAAGCCGTTCTTCCCTCAAACAAATAGTCATCACATACTTTGGAATAATCAAATATTCCAATACATGAAACCTGATAAAACTTTTTACCTTTCAAGAAGAATCACCTTAAATATTTCATAATATTTTTTCCTTCTTTATAATTTCCAGTATTTGACAAAACAGCATTCTGGATGATTTCAAACACTGGTGCCCATATAAATTAAACATATTAGTGATTCAAAGTGAAATACATTTTTATCTAATTGTTGCTTGTGAGAACAGCTTAACTGGTGCTCTAAGCAGCTGCCTATGTTTTTGATGATTAGAGGAGACCCTGGGTAAAACTGTAAAATTTTAAATTATTTTTTATGTTGATGAATGATTTTTGTGATCTGTGTTGATCAGATTGAAATCATATTAAAAATTGCTATAAAATTTAATTTTTGGTTTTTGTCTGTAACAATTTAGGCAGAACTACCTCAAGAGTGGCAAGCACTAGATTATGATTCAAATGCTTCCTTACCCAGTGATGAAGATGAGGTTGAAGAAGAAGGTGAAATAGATGATGTGTTTGGTGAATCTATAAATGATGCTCAGGTTTCAGGCAGTCGAAAGAAAATTACATCGGATTCAGGATTAGACCAGTTGGATCCCTCATCATATACATGGGGAATACTTCGTTACGCAGTCGTAAAAATCGCTCTGAGACATATTGGGACCTTTTTAACAGTTGCAGGACTTGAAATGCAAGGTAATAAACTTTGAGTTTTGCATGATTTAATTTTGTAAAATATTTTGCATAATTTGAAGAAGGTAATATTTTAAATAATCTGTATCAGACAAATATATCTATTCTGTACTTTGCAATAGAAATCTTTTCATTTAATGTCATTTTGGAGGTTCTGAAGGCCATTGCGAAGAAGGGGTGAAACATTATTTGAATGAGGGTATTTTCTTTCTGCAGGAGTGAAAAATGATTTTCAATAAATATTTAATATGTGGTTGGAAATATTTTCTTAGTTGGATAAAATGTGACTTTGTTAGCAATTTGAATTTGTAATTTTTCCCCCTTTTCTATTTCTTTAAGGAGAATTTGACTAGCTGATCAAATAGTTATATACACGTCAGTGTAAGTTTACAGAAGTTAAAGGAAAAATATGCTTTATTTGGAAAATTTAGTTCTGTGCATATGATGAAATACCACAGTAGTATTTACAGGGTTCGTACGGTCCTTAAGAGTCCTTAGATTTTTTGGAATTGATTTTTGGTCCTTAAAAGTCCTTAATTTTGGCCAAACTCAGCAGAAGGTCCTTAATTTTAATCATCTGAAATTTCTGTCTGTTTTTACGACTGCCATTTTGAGTGTGAATTAGCATTTTGGAGGAATATTTTTGGCAATTCACTGACAGATATGATTATCTTTTGAATGGGTTCATGGGTTATAATTTGTTTCTATTTTTAATATAAATGATGAGATACTCGAGTTTCTAAGCAAGAAATGAAACATAAGCATTTCGAAATTTTTTTTTTTTTTTTTTCCAATAAAGAGCATTTAAACAACTTTTCGCTTTTGGGGATGTGAATTCTTTTATTAAACGGTTCTAAATTTGACGACTTATCAACATTTTGGTGATTTTGAGATCAGTTTCTATAGAAAATTTTTAATTCAGAGATCTGAGAATTTTTCGATGATTTTTTTAGAACATTATAACATTCATAAATATCATTAAAATAATGGTAATGTATTGTAATTATTTTTAAGAGATAACATTAAAGCATTTTTATTTTTTGCTGCCATATTATAAATTCCATTTTGGCCACTTATACAATATCTTGAACCTGAAAAAGTAAACAAGGTATAATGTTATAAAGCACAATTTACAAAACATTTCTTAGCAAAAGCAAAATAGCTATGTAATTAATTAAAAATATTTTCTTTTTAATTTTTTTATGGTAAGAGTTTTCCCATGTTATTTGTCTCAGAATATGCATCAGTTTTCTCTCTGAAATTAATTTTACATTTTCCCCTCTGATTTTTTTTTCTCAAAATATTTCTGGCTTTTTCCTGTTATAGAATTCGTAGGAGTAAATTTTTTTTTAGGATTTTAGACATTGGAGCTTGGAAAGTTAAGAAGAAAGCAAGATTTATAGACCCACAATTCTAGAAGATTCAAGAAATATGTGACAAAATTTGAAATGTTTCCACGGTATCAACACGTAATAGATGCATTTTACAGAAAGTTTGCAATGAATTTCTTACTTTTTGGAGAACGTCTGGAAGAACAATGAAAACATAATATTTGAATGTTTTACTTCTGATACTAGAATCTTTTAACATGTTTATCTTCCCTTTATTTTCTCTACTTTTCACTAGAGTCAAGCAAGGAAAATATCAAAAATGCTTCTAATCTTATCACATGGGCATTCATTATAAAAAGGGATTTTTTTATTAATAAAGAAATTGAAAACTGACAATTTAAAAGATTCATCTAATATGTCTTAATGCATCATACATATAGCTGGCACTAGGCATTTTCCCACCTAATGCATCATTCTTTGTGGATCCTAAATTCTGCTGCTTAGTGCCTTTCTAAATTCTGCTTCCAATGCCTCCTCTAAATTCTAAAAGTTCTGTCATTTCTAGATTTTGTTGTTTGGTGTGTCACTAAATTCTAAAAATTTCTGCCACATCAGCTCTGTAATCAGCCTTTACCATATATATTTCATATTTCTTCTAAATGTTCATATTACTAAAGAAATAAAATTAGCCACTTTTTCTATACATTCTAAATGCATTTAGTGTTTTTTAGAATAACAGAAATCCTTAATTAAATCCAAAAATTCTAAAATGAAAAGGAAACATGTTGAAGAAAGAAACGGTATACATAAAGAAAATTATTCTTCAGAGATATGTGCAGTTGTTTATGATCTCAGCCTTTACTACATTTTCCCGTTTCTATTTCCTGATAGAGTTACTGAGCCAGATTAAATTAAATTTTATAGTTTTTGACTACTACTCCACATTATTAGTTTGAATTTGACTGTTCTTGTTTAATTACGTCACTATGAGCTGTACTTGATTTTGTTAGCATCAGAACGTGCCTTTATGTTCTAAGTTAAGCCTCTTATTTAAACCTTTGTCTGATATTGTATTTACTTTCAGACATAGCGATAATATGCTTCACTTCTGTTGGGGGTTTTGGACTATTTAACTTTTAGCAGATAAAGTAAACCCTTGTAGGTACATTATGGAGAAGTTCACAAGTTAGGAGATAAAGCATGCAGAAACTAGCGAGGGCATTGTTTTGCATATTAAGACAAATCTCTAATTGTTAGAAAAAATGCTTAAAGAGAAGGAAATCAATATAAACTAGCCAAAATGTTTGGGAAGGTTTTAAATTAAAATGACGAATAAACATTTTGTTGAATGTTTTTGTTAGCTTTTAATGTGTAATAATCCTAATATTGTTTAAGAATCAATGCCATAAATTATATGTATTTTAACTATGAAATTTTATTAAATTTTGATTTTAATGGGGCTTTTTTAATAAATTTTGTTAAAAAATAAAATTTAATAGTGGTCATGTAAATCCATAATGACTAAGAATATCAAACTACCTTGCCCTTAAAAATTATCTCTACACATTAAAGCGAGTTATTGCCTTTCATTAATACCCACTGTGGTCACAAGATAAAATACAAAAATGTAAAAATTCGAGTAAAACTTATTCTTTGCATCTAGTGAGACTTAAAATAATACAAAATAGCTTATCACCTCTGGTGCTTTAATGGCTTATTGGAACCTTAAAGTATATTAACTGGGTTATAATCGCTGGAACTCTACACGAACCTATGACACTAACTGCATTAAACAGGGCCTGACTAACTTTCAGCACTTGCTAACCATGCCTACACCAGGCTTTTCAGGTTTGTTCTAATCAGCAGGTTTCTCTCTAAACAAGCAGCAGCAGTGAGAACATTGTCTTTCATTATGAATCATGCTGATTATGATCTTACTTCTCATTTTAACCTATGCCATTTGACATAAAATCTACCTGCTATTTACTAAACCTCTAGACTGACCAAATATGTGACATTATGAGACATTAAAAAAATCTACATAAAGCTAACTGTTAGTAAAACGTAAATGTCACTTCTTTCAAATATGTCCAATAAGTGTAAAATATTTAATGCTACTTGATCAATTGCTTAAAGTTTATTTTATTTTCAAACTTATTAATAATTATGTTAATTCATGTTTAGTAATAATGCATACTACTTAGGGCTCTATTTTATTTTTAGGATGGTATTACAAATGTGAAATACAGGCATCGATAATATTTTTAATTGAATTTATTCAGTTCGCATTTGCTCATAGGTCCTTAATTTTTTTACCATTAATGGTCCTTAAAAGTACTTAATTTCCACGTGCAGAAATGTGTACGAACTCTGTATTTAGAGAAAAAAAAAAAAAAAAAACTGGTTGCGAAATTTAAATTATATAGAGGAACTTATTTCAGGAAGATTATTCAAAATTTGGCGAATTTTTTTGGCGGCAATGAAAGAACTAAGATGTGATTTTTAAATGTAAACAGAACAGTAACTTTTAAGTTTTGAAGTAGTGAAACACCTTTATTTTACGTAAACAGAATAGTAAAATGAAATGATAAAATAGTAGATGAGTAAAAACAAAGTCCAACAGCTTTGCAAGTAAAAACATATGTATCTATGTAATTCATCATAAAATAGTAGATGAATAATTCTTGTAAATAATTATTGAGTAAATAAATATGTACACTTATCAAATCAGAGCACTGCAAAGTGAGTTTTAAATGTAAACAGAATAGCAAATTTTTGTTTACAGTGGTGAATAGCGATTATTATGTGCAAACAGAATAGTAAAAGAATTGATTAAATGATAAAACAATGTCCTGGAATCCAACACTCTAAACAACTTTCATTTAAAACTTCAGAACGTTAAATATTCCACATCTTTCGATTGCCACATGCAAGAAATAAAACTGAAAAATAAATAAATAAAAAATAAAATTAAATGAAAACATTCACAACTTCACGTCATCTTAAATCCAACATTCTCCCACCAACAACAGCTTAACCTTCTGCAAATATTTATATAAATATAATATTAAACATATATATATAATAATATTAAACAGTAAAAACTTTTAAAAACAAACACAGCATTTCAAAATTAAATTTAAAAATTAAATTATACGCATTTTTTCTTGCATTTTATTTAAACTTACTAGATTGAATTAAACCTACTTCGCCGACAGCGCATAAACCACAATAGAATAAATGCATTCTTTAAAAATTCACTTTGTTTACCATAGCGACACTCTGGCGCTAGGTTTACTTAACCGTATTATATTTCAGTCATATTATAACTCAGAATGCACAAAATGTATATCATTTAAAAAATTATCTAATGGTTGCCACATGTTCTATTCAAATACTATAATAAAGCTAGCCGCTTTTTCTATACATTATTCTAAATGCATTTATTGTTTTTTAGAATAACAGAAATCCTTAATTAAATCCAAAAATTCTAAAATGAAAAGGAAACATGTTGAAGAAAGAAACGGTATACATAAAGAAAATTATTCTTCAAATATATGTGCAGTTGTTTATGATCTCAGCCTTTACTACATTTTCCCGTTTCTACGAGGGCTATCCAGAAAGTAGATTACGTTTTGGAATAAAAAAATAAACAAAGTATAGGAAACAAAT